GTACTTCAGCTTTGTTATATTTCAATTAAGTGAATCAGATTTTTCCGAAAATTCGTTAATATTTGTCACGTTTTTACAACAATTGCATGTGCGAATGTGTGTCTGTCTGTGTGTGTGTGTTGAGTGCCTGCATCCTCTGTTAATTGGTATTTTTGATTGTACTTCTAAAAATTTCAATCAATTTTAGGCAAAGCATTTGACATATTGCGAGTCGAGTTTTGTTATTGCAGCATAGGCATAATGATTACGTAATTAATTAGAATGAATCGATCTCATTTCATTAGGCAATTAAATTTCACGACTGAGTTGAAAATGCTGTAATTGTTTAGATGAATGTCTAAACGGATTCGAATGTGATTATTTTTAATACTTCTATAAGGTTTCTTTTATTTTACAAATTAAATTCAATGTGTGCCTAATATTTTTCTTTTATATATATATATATATATATATGTATATATATATTATTTTTAATCTGTGCTATTATGATTTCATATTATATATTTATTTAATATTTATTGTCTAACATTTCTTTGAGTATCACGCTTAAAGCTCAACAGGAACTTAACAGGATTAATTATTCTGTTAAAATCAGCACTTTGCATTAGGCTTAACAGTTTGTTAACAGAGATTTTGTTTTAAACATTAGCTCTGCTACTGTGCAAGCTTGAAAGAGTTTGACATTTTTTGTTTATATATAAAAATAAAAGATAATATACTCTTAGTTAATTATGTTGGTTAGCTAAAGGAATATTATTATAATTTTGATATCAGCGCTAAGAAATTTAAGAAATAATTGACTAAAAAAACTTTGAGTTAAAGGTATTAAAGCAAATTTTTTTTTATTATTATTTTTAACATATTTTATATATTTAAAAAAATATTGAAATTCATAACAAGAGAGTCTAGTTGAGATCTATTAGTTGTTGACTCATCTGGACATTTGTCTGGTGTTTCGCCATTTCGTTATCCGAGTTTATCCGAGTGCACAGCGCGCAAATCGATTCTAATCAATTAATGCAGCAACAGGTATGCGCATTTACCGTTGCACTTTAGCCAAATCGTCTGGATTAATGCGGCAAGCGCACTTGGCCAACATCGTAATATTCATATGGCATTCCACTCAAATGATTTAACCAATATGCAAATGCTTGGTGTGTATGTGTGTGAGAGAGAGAGAGACTGTGTGTGTGTGTGTGTGTGTGTGTGTAGCACAAGTGCTTGCAAGCTCATTGAGCACTTTAGCCATTATATGTATGGAATACAACTCTTGCAACAGCTGCAACTCCGTCTTCGCCTTCGTCTTCGTCATCATCTCTGCCTTCATCTTCGTCTTCATCTCTGCCTTCGTCGTCGTGTTGTGTTTGCTGGCAGCAAATAAACACTTCTGACAGCCCCGATCGGATCAGTGTGCACCTGCCACCTGCCCCGTGGCACCTGTTAGCTGTTGCCTGTCTGACAGTTTGTTTGGCTTGGCGGGTGGGTGGTGGGTGGTGGAGTCTGGTTATTTAAGCATGCAACGCGCCCACACATTCGCACATGCAACAGTTGAGCTGTTAACCAGTGTCTAAGCCCCGCCTGCAGTTGCACCCGCTCTCTCTCCCTGTTCCTGCCCCTTTTCTACAGGCAGTTTACGTCTGTCGCCGCTGCCTCTGTCGCCGCTGCCTCTGTCGCCGCTGCCTCTGTCTCTGCTGCTGCTGCTGCTGCAACATCATTTGCCCTCATTTCCGTTCGGTCGAAGGATATGAATCCCAATAGCACTTCCTCAGCGCACATCCGTTGCGACACGCCGCTGGCTGTGGCAACGACTGCGGACGGGGGCGGGTGGTACCCGGGTCGGGTCGGGTCGGGATGAGTAAGGAGCTGACTGTTCCGCCCGCTTGACGCTTGTCAACGCTACGCAACATTAGGAAAACGAATGAAACGGAAACGAACAAGCGATAAGTGTTGTCTACGTGTCTTCGGGTTGATTTTATTCTATTTATTTTTTTTTTCATGCATACCCCGAACTAAGCGTCGCACACAATGGCACAAACAGGGTTAAATTGGTTTTATGCTTAAGCATGTGACAAGCGACGGGGAGAGAGAGTGTACGCTATATAAGTACATGCATATTAAGATCTCTGATAATATAACTTTAAAAACTTTTTGCAAGCTCATTGAGCAAGAATTGCAAGCTGCAATATTTGTTCCTTTTCTTCATATCCATAAGAATTCTGCTTAAACTGCAAATTACTCAAAGACTGTGAGAGCTAGAGCTTTTAAAATGTATACACAACTACCTCTAGGCTGTAGGAATATTTCACTTTTAAAGTATTTTCTGCAGCGGACTTTTCCCTTTACAGATAACTCAAGAATTTGTATATATAATTATAGAATATAACATCAAACGCTATATCAATAATAAGAATCGTTCTCTTTGTAAAGAACTTCTTCTTATAAGTTGAATAACTTGAATAACTCAGGAACTATACAAGCTATCGACATGGTTATATACCATGGTTAAATGTTAAAACATATACTTCATTATCTCCTGTATAAAGATTCCGTATATCTCCTACATATAACTTTAATATAGTACAGCTTCAGACCTATACTTCCTATTAATATGACAATTATGTTGCTCATCATAAACTGTATAAGGATTGGGAATACTTTACTTTTCAAATAACTCTCTATGATTGGACTGTATTATAAATAACTCAAGAACTATAGAAACTACACACATTAAACATTATAAAGGGATATTTATATATCATATATTCATGAATATTATTTCGCTTGCTCAAACCCAAAAGACGATGGCAGAGATCAAATCAAGTTTCCCTTCTATTATCATACATTTGCATGTCAAATGTATATCAAATCTCAGGGTATTACCAAGTCCTTACGTATCTCGCACTACGCTTCGGTTCGTCGGTTGATGGTGCAAGGCGTTTGGCACGATGTGTCCATAATGCCGCCACATGCCGCATGCCACATGCCACAGGACGCCAGCTGCCGCCCACTGGAAAGGCTTACGAGCCAAATAAGTGTCGTGTGTCTTCATTTGTCGCTGTCGATTGTGATGTTCGTTGTCGCCGTCTCCTCTGTCTCTTTTGTGTGCATGTGCGTGTGTGTGTGTGTGCACAATCAACTCAAATTAAATTCAATAACATAACTCAATCATGACCGCCCTTGCCCACGCCCACACCGAATGTCGCAATGTCCAGCGGCATTGTAAAAATAAATTAAAGTTGAATTCCGCCGGACACACTTGACGACTCTCCGTAGCTGTTGCTTACGCTGCTTATGGTTATGGCAATGGCTTTGTTCTGTCTGCTTCCTCTAGTCCTATCTGCTGCCACTTACCAACCCGCCAGCCGCCTCCTGCTTCTGCTCCTGCTCCCGCTCCTGCTGCTTATCATTGGGGCAGTCGTTCATTGTGTTTGTTATTTGTTGTCTTTGGCTTGCATAACAACAATTCAACTAACACAACGCCAGCAATTATTTATATTATTAAATCCTCTTGAGTGTCCTCGCCATTGTTAATATACCCTATAAATATAATAATTATGCTTGGGTATATATGTGCATGGATAGATAGCATATGCTAGAGGCAGACTTTAGACTAAGTCAAGAGCATCGTGTGCTTCACAATGGCAAGCGAAGTCTTGCAGGATCTGACGAGAGAAACCTTAAGAAGCGCGATAGTCTAAACAAATTTTTACACTTAAATTTGTTTGTATAGGAAGCGCCTCAAATGAGCATCAAAGAGCACAGAAAAGCAAATTTGTTTGTGAAATAAAGCAAGCACTTAAGGTTTCTCTGGTTCTCATGGAAAGCAGGGCTGGTAGGTTAGGAGATTACAAAAATGGAGTATTCGAGAAAGAAGTTAAATAAGGAACAAATGTATGATTGCTTCAAGAGAGTACTGGATAACTTTAGAGTAAAGTGAAAAGCGACAGAGCTCCAAAGAGCGTTCTCTAGAGAGAAGCGGCAAGTACAAAAGATTAGCAGAAAGCATTCGGGAAGAGCTGAGAACATGAAGCGAGAAGAAATTGAGTGAATGGGTTAGCAACGAAGACAAGCATTAGGAAAAAGGGAGCAGCAATAGAGTGAAGCTGGACGAACTAGGAGAGAAATGTGGGAAGTACCGAAGACGTGGAAAGAATCAGAGCAGAAGCCACTAGACAAAGGCAAAAAGCAGCAGGGAGATTGGGAAGTACTAAGAATAATCGGGCAGCATTAATTAGTACTAGAGAAACGATTGTAATTTTCTTTAGAGAAAAGTAGATAAAGAAAATCTGTAAAGAACTTTCAGAAGCTGCAGACGAAACCACACAAAGTTAAGAGGTTGCAGAGAGAAGCGAACCGAAAATTGAACAGTCTGAAAGCAGTATAGGGCATACAATAAATAGCTATTATATTTAAAGTATTAAATAGAAGCTAAGAGTCCAAGAAGCTTCTTCTTCCAACTGTGCCCTAACTCACTTCACTTGAGTATGAACTAAAGCAGTAAACAGGGTATTCCATAGTCCAGCAATTGCGCGTGGTCATCCGCCATTTATATCAATTGTTGTAAGTGTTATTGTTGTCAGTTGAAGGCGTTACTTATGTCATGCCTGCGCCGCTTGGCAACTGTTGTTGCCATAGCCCTAGCCATGGTACAGTCCATTCGTCTGTCCAGCCGTCCGTCCTTTCCTCCCACCCCCTCTGCGTGCTGTCTGACCCATTTCTTCACAGCTTAGTTGGCATTTGCCGAAGCCAGCAGACAGACAGACGGACGGACGGTCGAACGGGCGGTAAGTAAACAGCAATAAAACAACAAAACAATAATTTGTTGCTTTTTATTCGAGCAATGTTAAATACGATATTATTGAATGGTAATCGCGGCCTACACCCAAGAGTATCCATATTTTTTGACAAGGGTTACACGAAAAGAGGCGCAGCAGGAGGCGGAGGAAGTGGAACTGTTGTATTAACTGAAACGGAATGTTTGTTTGTTTGTTTGCTTACAGATTCTTCTACCTATATCATTATGCGTTCTATGCGTATCACTATCGCTTCAGTGGACAATATCGTAGTCTGGCCCTGCTCTCGTCGTTTCTCTTCATTCAGGTAACTATGCGAATGATGCTGCTGCTGCTCCTTCCTGCTCCTCCTGCTGCTGCTGCTGCTGCTGCATAATGCGAGGCACAAACAAAAACAAATTCTTACGCAACTGGAGCCAAGCGCTGCCTGTCAGCTGCATGACAAATTACCCAGCGCATTATTGTTCAACTGTCTGTCGTCCGACTCTCTCGGTGTCTGTCTGTTTGTGTGTCTGTCTCTATTTGACTATGGCCTCACGTGTAGACAGCATCCCGTCACGTGCCTGACAACTGAGCGCTGAGCTCCATTGCGTAACACACACTGGCCTTCCGCACTCTCTCTCCTCTCTCTCTCTCTCTCTGTCTGACTCACGCTCCTCTCTCTTCTCTCTTTCTCCCTCTCTGTTTAGCACTCAATGGTATTCTTCTTTCATCGGTACGAGCTGCCCGCCATTATGGCACAGCGTCATGTCTTCATCATCACGCGAAATCAAGCAAATGCAGCAGCTGCTGCTGCTGCTGCTGCCGCCGGCGGCGGAGGAGGCGGTGGTGGTGGTGGTGGTGATGCTGCTGCAGCTCCAGCTGTAGCTGGTCAACAGGCGGCGCTGCAACGTGCCCGGGTCATTGTGATGCGACTCTATAGACAATTGGCTGCACAGCGTCAGGGCCAGGCAGCTGGAGCAGGAGTGGGAGTGGGAGCAGCTGCTGGTGGAGGCGGCGGCGCTGCTGCTGCCGCACCGGCCGTGCCCAACAATCACAGCGCTCCACTGGCGAATGCTTTGGGTAATTTGAGGCGGCTGCCGTTGGTGGGGCAGTGGTTGCATGGACGCGACCAGTTTGCCACCGAGAGACGGGTATTCCTTGGCCGCGGCCATGGACACGGCCAGATGATGCATGTGCGGCTGCAGCGCATCAATATGGCCGACATACCGGGACTGCAGACGCGCGCTGCTGCGGCCGTGGCAGCAGCCAATGCTGCGGCGGTGGCTGCGCAGGCAGCAGCACAGGCGGCAGCAACGGCTGCCCAGGCAGCAGCAGCAGCAGCAGCGGCAACGGCAACAACAACGACAACAGCGACAACAACAACGGCAAGCGAAACAACAACAAATGAAGGTAACTAAGTAAATGATTGGACACGATTTGTGCCCGGCTGTGTTCACTTCATTGCACTCAATTGGCGTCGGCCTTAAATCGCTTTTGGGGCAACAGTCTAATGCCACAAATAACTGTGACGCTCCGCACCCATCGAGTGTGCAATCAGCCGGAAGATAAATTTAAATATTTCGTTTCAACTGCACTCGAAAACGCAGTCACCAAACAACAACAACAACAACAGTCAACAAACAAACAAACAAAAAATGAAACCAAAATGAAAACGTGGCAAATTCGAAAGAAGACAACAACAACAACAAAAAAATGCCGAAAGTAAATGCACACAAATCTCTGATAGTCTCGCGTGTGTGCAAACAAGTTTGCGGCGGATTAAATACCCTGTGATACGATTATCTCTCCCACTGTCACTGCCCTCTCTCTCTATTTCTGTCCGTGAAGCCGCTTCTCAAGCGTAATTTACATAGAAGAAAATGGATTTTAAATTTTGCGTACTGTTTCTTATATTTGAGATAAAATTGTTTATGTTTTTATATTTATAATTTTTAAATTGCAATTATATTGGATCCACAAGATGTGTATGATTTTTATATTATTTCCATTGATATTATTTAAAGTTAGTAGATTTGCTTCGAGCTAAATAAAATTTTTATTGAAATACAATTTCTATGACCATTGTAGCTTTAAATATTTTTTTTTTATTTATTAAAAATTTTTTTCACATACGATTTTTATTAAAATTATTATAAAAATTGTCAAAATTTAGAAATAAACTTCAATTTATTTTGCAAGTATTTATCGTACTTTCTCTTCAAGTAATTTTCACAGCTTGCAAGCAAATCTATTAATAATAATATTTATTATTTTTGAATTTTGAAATTAAAACTGTAAATTTATGTTTTCTGCAAGGCCAAATGTTTTATTTTAACGAATTTGTAAAAAAAGAATAAATAATGTATAATCTAGAATGCTAAATTTACAAAAGTTAAAACTTAAATATTTATATGATATGATTTATGATCTATAATCCATAATCTTTAATCTTGAATCCATAGTCTTTAATCATCCATAACGTATAAGTATGTGGATAAAAAATTCACAAAGATTTCGGACTAATATCCACTGTAGTTTATCCCGAATATATTTATGCCATTGCATATTGAGTGCCCAACAGGATTATACCCAATTTGGCAATGTTTCTTTTGTATTTGTTTGTTTGTTTTTTTTTTTTTTTTTTTTTTTTTTTTTTTTTTTTTTT